AAGAAAACGCGCGTGTTCACCCTTCATTCCCGTTTTCACTTTCTTCCTCGTGACTTCCGCACGCATTCTTCATTTGCCTTACATCAATCATTCTCACATAGAACGCACTCTAAACTGCATACATTTAATCGCTAGCTAACTTCGATACGATCGAACGATTGTGTTGGAAGGGTCGATCGTATACATACGTATACGTATGCTATATAATTCACCACACCCCGCGAATAGTATATCACACACATGCGAGACACATTTTGCGGTAATAACCCATGTCGAATATTGACCGACCTAATTTTTGTTCAAAGTGGATTTTAATCCACGAGGCGATTCACATTTTTCCATTTCGCTCGCGCTGCCTCACTTTCGCAGCTACTTTTCGCTCGCAACTAATTGTCGTCGAAAAAATACGACCCTCCTCCCCTCTTCAAAATTCGAAAACGCGCCCTTTCGTATAAGAAAACATCTCCTCCCCGCCAACCAATACTATTAGAACCGAAGGAAGTAGCGGAAGAAACGGCGTTGAACCTTGCAAACGCATGCTGACAACGCACGAGATGCGACGATAGCGCGAGGTAAAATGATTTATGACCGCGGGACACGCCATGTCGTTTGCTAAACTTCGCGAACGAGGCGTGTGTGTCCACGTGCGCGCGAGGGAGCAGGAAAGCGTACGCGAAAAACACGAAGAGCGAAAAGGACATGCGAGGTAGAAATGGAGAGAGCGCGGGACTAGAGAGTAGAATTTATGTCGCGTTTCAAAGGAAAAAGAAGGGAGTGAAAGAAGAACAAATCCGCTCGGAGCGCACATGTGACATGTGAATACACAAGACATACCAAATGCGAGGAAAAATCTGAGAAAGAGAGAGAGAGAGGGAGAAAAAAAAAGAAAAGAAGAGAAAAAGAGCAAATCTCACTTCTTGGCGATCGAGAGACAATGAGGAAAGGTAGAAACTGTGCCAGTAACGCGCCACCGGCTACACCGCGCTTTCGACACAGGGTTGTAGCTGTTGAAATTTGGATCGCTGCCCTTTCGCGAGGTTCTCCACGCCTCGTTGGTGGCTCGGACGACTTTGCGCGGCCGCGTTTAAAAGCGCGTCTTGTGCACGCACCTGTCGTCGTGATACGCGAGAGTTAAGACACACGGGTATGTCACGTGACAACACATGCGGGGTCATTATAACCGCGACTTACAGAAAGCTCGTGAAAAAAAAAAACTCACGATACTTCTTTGCGGAAAATGTGTACTTTCTATTATTATTATTTTTGTTTTACTTATTTGTTCGTTGAAAAAAAAAACATTTCTCGTCTCTACGTCTCTTATATATCGCGTTAAATTTGCGAAGTTTATATATTTTTTTTTTTTTTTTTTTTTTCAACGTCGATACACATTCCTTTGAAATACTTTTTCGATGAAACTCGGCTGTGGTTGCCTGAACTTAACGCGCGCTGCGCACCGACCGTATTTCGCCCGCAATTTTCCCCGACAGACGCGTTTGACCGCAGAGCCTCCGGTTTACAATTAAACAACACGTTTGCTGCAAAAACAATCGGTTCGGCTGGGCAAAGAGATTGCGCCGCGCAATCTTTTGTCCGTGATGATGGTCGTGGCGTAATCGCCAGCCCAAAAGCTGACCAAAAAGTGTTTTTAACGCTCGCTTCGTACGAGGAGACGCTGGGACGACGACGCGATTCACAAAATAGAATTGGACCCATGCGACGCGTGCGGCTTATCGAAATGCATCGCGACACATTAAAGATACTATTAAACGCGTTACCTACAAGCAATCCGCGTTAACTCTCGTTTCATGCTGTTGCACGCGACACATACGAATGCACGCACGCACGCACGCACACACAACCGAGAGGCGCCACTTTCACGCGTGCTCTAATATTCCGATGGAGTATGTGAATTTTTTAACGAAGAATTTATTTCGCTTTAATCTGTCGGCGAACGTTGGCGCGATTTCGTACCGCGTGTTGAATGCGCGCAAACACTGTCGAGCCGCTGAATAACATCATCGATCGCATCAAAGTTTTTTACGATAAAGCCGTCGTTGTTGTTATTTAAAGGAAGTTCTCGACGCAACATGAAATGAGAGATACATTTCTCTGTGCTGAAAAAAAAAAAAAACTATCGCAAAACAATTCTCTGGAGAAAGAAAAATGGGTTCTAATTATTTACAATTTAGATTATCTTACATCTCCGAGAGAGATATGCATGACAACAATTACACAGTAAGTAACTTTATTAATTAATTAGCACACGTCAATAACATTAACTAACAATCCTATTATATAAAATTAAACGTTGACGTTGGATTTGATTGATGTTAAATCCTCGAGCGTTTGTCTGCTAATTATTACCTTAGCAACTGGATTTTACGATTGCATTGTTAATAAAAATCATGTCGCTTCGGGCAATTTTTTTTCTTGTTTGAAAGAAGATCGATCATTTCTATCGATGATTCAAGATGAATTCGGGTCATCGCGATAGAGTGTACGCAAAATACGTGCAGTTCAATATGCATAAGTAAAAGCAATTGCGACACACGACTGTTCGATTCTGACCTTTTCTTTCTCTCGTCGCAACGATCGATGCGGTCCACACACATATATATATCTGTACATATATATGTTCATGTGTGTATATATATATTAATACCTGCGCTCTCTCTCTCTCTCTCTCTCTTTCATACATGCTTGTGCCAGCGAAATATAATTCGCACACGCCCAGTCCCCAGTGCGCTGCGCGCGAGAATGACCAGAAAGAGAAAAAGAGAGAGACAGAGAGAGAGAGAGAGAGAGAAAGAGAGAGAGCGCAATTTCTCGAATTTAGTTTTGTGCGCTTGTCAAGATGATCGTTGCGGTTGTAGTGAACGAAACAGTTTCGGAAACAAAAAAAAATGTTTCGCACAAAAATCCGCGCGAAAATCCCGATCTCGTCCGGATTCAAAAGCTGAGCACGCGAAGAAGTTTTTCGTGACGGCACGTGCACGATTCTCCGGCGAGGCGTTGACAGCTCTCGCCGCCTCGTCTTGCCTCTTGCGCGCGATGCTAACGACAGAAACCGAAGGAATTTATTCGGGTCGGTCGCTTGTCGAAGAGACCTCCCAGGGAAGAAGACCGGTTGTCCATCCGCGGCTCGAAGATTAATGAACGCCGTGCTAGGAGCGCAGGCTCATTAGAACGCATTAACCTCGGGCGTTTTTTTTTTTTTTTATTTGTTTTTTATTTTGATTTTTTTCTTTTACGTCTTCGCATTACTCAATCCTTAATGACATATTGACTAGCGCGAAGTATCAACCTATCTACGAAGAAGGAATGTTACCATCGCACTTCTGCTTGTCGTAAATCGCGCGTTGTAACTGCCAGTCGCGGGGGGTATAAGGGAATAATTTTCGATGGTAAATATACGCGCGCGCGCGCGCGATATTACTCGGGGCTGTGTCCCCTTATGGATTACGCATGCAGATAACACATCGCCGACGCGACTATATTCGAACCGCGGATCATTTGCATTCAGAACCATTACAAGGTTTTAGCGGCCGTGTGTTACTTTTGTCGCAATTGCGAGAAAATTGCCGATTTGATTGACGCAAACGCGGAAATTTGTTGTGTGATGTCGCAGTTGACTTTTCGCGTGATTAAAATTACTCGCGCGATGAAAATACACGGGACACATTGAATAACTGTTGTTAATTATTTTCGCAAAATAAAAAAAAAACCAGCCGATTTTTGGTCGGCTTTTTGGTCGTACACGCGACTTTCTTTCTGCGAGACCTCGATTAACCGTTGCCATCGCCGTCTCGAAATCGACCTGACGAACAGCAGAGCGACATGTGCGCGAATTATAATGCGTTCCCAGGATCGTATCTTATCGCTATTATCGTGAATCTCTTCGAAGAGGTTTTATCTGCCGTCGATGGTATATAGGCCAGATAATATTTTATAACGCACAATATATATACACATGCAAATGTTGAACAAGTATATATTGAGTGAACTGTACCGAAGCAACAGATTTTTTTTTTTACATCACGTTTCGCACGAGAGAAGACGCATTTCCATTCCGTTTAAATACTCGAGGTACGATGGACTTTACGCGAGCTCTTTTTTTTTTTCACGAGTGCCACAAGCCCGAAAGAGAAAAGGAGAGGGAAGAGAACGAAAATTGCGTGCGATTCATCCGAGGCCGATTGAACAAAATGGCGTGTAATAACCTTTATCAAAATAACATCTCGATAAATAGCGCGCTCGATTAAAACATATCGCAAATTTCGTCGCCTCCGACCGCATCGCAAATACTTTTTTTTTTTTTTTAACTGTTTTCAAAGGGACATTTTCCTAATTTTGTCGACAAAAAACGAATTTTTTATCCGAGGCCGATTGAACAAAATGGCGTGTAATAACCTTTATCAAAATAACATCTCGATAAATAGCGCGCTCGATTAAAACATATCGCAAATTTCNTTTTTTTTTTTTTTAACTGTTTTCAAAGGGACATTTTCCTAATTTTGTCGACAAAAAACGAATTTTTTATCCGAGCGACATAAAGCAATTATTTTGCATAATAAATTATCGAATATATCACATATATCGCGCGCGCGCGCGCGCGAAAGTAGACGAAGAGATAAACGAGCAAGTGCGAAAGGCCAACAAAGAATAAGTGGAGCTCGCTCTGGTCAACGCGAATGTTCCGAGTACCAATATAAAAGTATCAATCAATCAGCGCGCCGGACACGATTTTTATACGCAATTATCATAATAAAATCATGAATGTTTTAAATTATTATCGTGAAATATAAATCTCTAATTATTTCTTTATTCAAAAAACAGCAATAATCTCTTATTCTTCTTTGAACTATACTCTTTGAGACAGCAACCAAGTGTGACGGATACGTGTCCGGTGATAGACACTTTTACCTTGTACACACACACACGCACACACACTTACAACGTACAAAGAGAAAAGAGAAATGAATTCGAAAGCGCGTACTCACCTCCGTGCGTTGTGCTAACCTCTTGTTGAGCTCGTGGAGTCTGTAGTCAGGCTGGTTGTAGTAAGCTGGCGTGTGCCTCCTGGGGACAGGTAACGATCTGTCAGATCACAGACCGATCGGTCATGTTATTAATAGGTGCGTTGTGTGTAAATGTGTGTAAATGCGCAAGTGTGTTGCATGGGCGCGCGCGCCACGAATGTTTCATGCATATAATGTGTTTCCCCACCGTCGCCTTATCGCGCGACGTCGCTCGCCACACTGCGCGAATTTTCGTAAGGCGCCCCGAGGGGCACACACTACTACCGGCTACTCCTCTCACAAGCACCGCCGCAAAGCGAGCTCGGACGCGTGGCACAGATTCGCGAAATGTAGTTTACGACTTTCACCGCGACCGCGGTCATTTTCCGTCTTTTTAATGCGCGTTTGAAGAATAACACCGCGAAACATTGCGCGATTCAAAGGGTATTCGATGCTACGTCGCGTTTCTCTCTTGATTTTGTATCATGTAAATAAATTATTTCGAATGATCTTATCTCATCTCGATGTCAAAGTGTAGTTCATAAATCTTCACAGATTTTGTACCGCGAATAGAAGAGTAAAAACTCTCGCGAAAGCGACGTCGTTTACACATGTTTTTTGCGACGTTTGACCATCGAAAAACCCTTTGGCACAAACTATACGCGATACAAAGTCGGACTTTCCTCCGATCTCAACAAGATAAACGACCTTGGTGATACACGTGTCGCAGTTTTCCTTCCGTGTATTAACCGTCCTTGTAAAATCGTTATGCTAATTATAACGCGCTTAGTTGCACGCGGTTGCGAGAGAGACACCAAGTAGACAAACAAAGTAGACAAACGTCACGATAATGCGGCAAATAATGCGGGAATAATAATTATGCGGATTGTTGGCACATTGCGCATCTTAGAAACCGAGAAACGAAGTCCGGAAATTTTATTACTTGAATAACGCGCGTTGCACATTTTTATAATTATATAAAAAATATACGTTTTTTTATTTAAATATCGAGGCGAATAGCTCGAAAAAGTGTTTTCAATAACGTTGAATTGACAATTTTTTTTTTTTCTTCTGTTGTTGAACGCGCGCGGTAAATTAAATATAAAACACTTTTCCTGTATAAATACATAGAACATATTTTGTACGGTCAAACAGAGAGATGGAAGTCAGCATTTTAGTAAAAATGTGGCCTTCGCGACTAAGATAAGACGGTTTCTTTGACTTTCTACATTCAGTCGATAAGATAATCTGCTTAAATACAAAGATTTTTCAAGATAGATAACTGTAACCTTCCAATCTACATGACAGATAAACATAGAACGTAGATAGCGAATACTTACACCAAAGCACAACACACAACTCGTGTGTGTAATCCAATATAAATAGAGACATATAGATACCATGTATTCATTGATCGTCGATAAAAATCCGATGAATGAAACAACTGCGAAAATAAAAAAAAATAAAAAATAAAAAAATTAAGTTCGAAACAAATAATTATACAAACGGCCGACAGATCGGACTGGGAAGCGAAAAATTAAGCGTAATTTTTTTCGCGCGTGCGAAAAGATACGTCGCTTCCTAAAGATCGATCGCGGTCGAGAAAGAACTTGGACTTTCTCGTCTCAGGAAAAATCGACGCCATGGGACCTCTTCCCCTCCCCCCTCTCTCTCAGACGACACGTCATTGTCGCACACATATGTGCGTGTTGCGACGTGAATTTATCAGGGGTGCGTCGAGAATTCAAGGGTTGCAAGGGTAACCTAGTGTCGCGCACGATCTATTCGGTGAGTGACGCGAGTTGTGTGAATACAACCAACGTTTCTTTCATTCCAATTATCGTTTGATAATTGATTATACGACTGCAACTTGCTAAATGTTAATAACTAATTACACAAATAGCTGATTATCAATTCGAAATTTCGAAAAATTAACTAAAAAAATGTTATACACATCCAAGATTCACAGGTTTACGTAATTTTGCTCTGCAACACATATGACAGTTCTGTCTCTTTTTGAAAACAAAGCAACAATGTCGCTTTGTTTGACACTAGACTTGATGAATCGATCGCGAGTTCGTAAGACGGAATTGAATCGCGCTAATTTGGTCCGATAACGTAATTTCACGCGAGGCACGTAGAGGCCGTAGAGCGTCGTGCAATAACCTCGGCGTGCGCGCATGTAACACCCGGCTTTTCATTCAAGACGTGCCGCACGATCGAGCTAATTAATTCGTCGCACGGCAACGGCCGGGCGACTCGCGAATTTTTGTCCGTCTTTCTATAATCCTCGTTCTCTTCGAATTGGCGAGGGAGGGAAAAGAAAAGAGAGGATCGTGACAGATTATTCCGCCGATACGTAACTAATCCGCTGAATGAAAAAAACCTCGTACGCGCGCGGAACGAGGTATGCGGTTTGTTCAAGGCTGTGTACATACATACTTTAAAACTGTGAATCGAAAACATTCATTTTTTCCAAGGTTTCTTTCAAGCAAAAGTGCAATATTGCTATATTTTACACTTTGCTATATAAACAATCAAACATATCAATGTTATATCGTCAACCGACTTGTCAACCGGCAAACTGTAGATTTTGATTAGCGTGACGCACACACATACACACACACACCTCTCTCTCTCTTTCTCTCCGACGTATATCTACACAACGTGCCAACCGGTTCTGCCAATGAGCGGCCTTGCGGAGATGCAGCTTAACCGACCTGTGATCCGACAGGGACTAAGGACGAAGAGTTGGCCATATCCGATCATCTCTCGGTCGGCATGTACACGACGCGGCCCCACGTGCTCTCGTGCCGAAAGCGCGGCGAGGCCGGATATCTCGTCGGGAGAGACCGCGGGATTTGCAAACAGGTCGCCGTGGGTGGCTTCGCCCGTTATTAAGCCGCGGGAGTTAATGGCTTTAGTTTAGTTCGCGTGGCTAATGGGCGTCCCGACGCGCGGCGTCGCGCCGCGCCGCGCCGCGCCGCTGGGAATCAGCTGACCGGCCAGCTGGCCCGAGTGGCACAGCTCCCGTGGCGCGTCGCCTCGCGGAACCGCCAGTTGAGAGCCGCCGCCTGCAGGGGTCTCAGATTGGGTTAGCAAAGGGCGCAGTTTGGAGCGAGGGGCGGCGGCACCAAGAACGAAAGACAGAGAGAAAGATAGAGAAACAGAGACACAGACAGAAGGAAAGAGAGAGAGAGAGAAAAGGGGAACAGGGGTACGCGGAGAGCAGCAGGAGTGTTATTAGGGGGTTGCTCATGGGGTGGCGGTACGATCAATGCCAGAGAGTCATGCTAGAGTCCCCCCTCAACCCTCTCCCATCCTCTCCAAAGTCTATATATAGCGCATGAGTACACACATGTATAGAAGTTCGCACGTAGACGCGCCCGAGTGTGTCGAAAGCAGGTATGTGCGTACACACGAGGTTGGTCTACGCTCTAGATAAAGCGAGAAGGGATAGGCGAGGAAGAGAACGGGAGGATAGAAGAATGAACGCGCGAACTGTGTGTGTGTGTGCGTGCGCGCGCGCGTGTACAAAGGCGAGTACGCACGTGTGTGTATACGTGGATATATTTTGAACTCTCCGGGGGCGCGCGGACTACATTATCCCGCCGCACGCGGCGTGTTTTCCGCGTGTTGTTGTTCGGGCCGCGCGAGCGAGAGTTTGGCAGCAGCAGGTTTACCAACAACGGCAACATCAGCCCCCATTGATAAGGCAGGACCCCCCGCCGGATTGTTCGCCGTAATAATGTCTCGCGGTGATATTTCGTGTGCAAATTGCTCGCGCCAGCAAGACAATTGCCGTGCTCCAAACAAGTAGGATTAGTTGGAATCGACTTTGAACTAATTGCCGCCGGCCGGAAAGGTGATTTTCCGAGGTTCGCGCGTATACGTAATGAGAAGAGAGTCGTAAAATTAACACGGCAGAGGCGTGATCTTTTTAACGGCGACGATTGTTTTTTTCGCGGCTAATTTCGGAGAGAGAGAATTTTTTTCAGCGCGAAAATGTCGAGGTGCCGATAATTTCCGAGTCACGGAGTCGACTGAACGGGAACTCTTTCGCGAATCGTGTCTCGGACGGATGAATCGGATAATTATTCATTTAAATTCAGACAAAGTTTACTTTGATAGAATTTTAATTTGTGGTTTTAGTTACACACAGGTATATAATATGTGGATTTCACAAATCGAGGGTTGCGACGAACGATGAGCTTTCTCGACATTTCGCTGAAAGAGAAAAAAGTACTGTTTCGCGAAGTTAATCACAGAATCTATCTCAAAAGAGAGGGGGTTTTGAAACATTTCCTATACAATTTGCATGTGTTTAACGATTTGCAAATAAGTTTTCTTTTTTTTTTTCCATCGAAGGCAGAGATGACGAGGTGATTGTTTCGCGAACGAAACGTCAAAAGCGTTGAGCTCGGGAGCGATGTTTCGTACACGGTGTTCTGTAAGGCACTTGCACACACATGGCGCATTATGCGCATCAAAATGATGCGTCGCGTGTAATGCGCAATCTGCATGTCATAAGGACAATAATGGCGAAAGGCATCGAGAGCAAGCTCGTTTGGGGATGTTATCATGAGCTTTAGCACGCGTACGAGATGCAATCCGGTGCGGATTAACTATCGAAAGACGACGGGTCACGGCATTCACTATTAACGAATCTATCGTATTGATCGTGAAGACGGTTCCAAATTTGAAATCTCGTCGTCTCGGTGATTCGGGCAAGAATTTAGTTTCTATCCGAAGAATCGAAAATACACAAGCACAACAGAATTAATATTTTACGATGGTTTTCCAGACAGAATTTTTGTTTTCAGTTTGCAAAAATTTCCAAGTAAAATTGAAACATTGTTAAAAATCCAACCTTACAAAATAAATTTGATATTAATTGTAACACAGTCGAATAGAGAAAAAAAAAACACTGACTGATTGGTCGCAAAGTAAAGGTGAAACGCTCGAAAAACAAATTTCAACAAAATCTGCGAGTATTGATAGCATTTCTCTGAATTTTTTTCATTTTTTTTTTTAGACTAAAACTTTTATTTCACTAGAATTTCACGAGAAAGTTTTCCA